CTGTGAATGACTAACTTGGCTGAGGTGTTGATTTATGTCAGGAAGTCTTGTGAGTGTTTTATTCTTCAGTAAAGCCCAAAAAGATACCGGGTTTGTGTTTTCAAAGTGGAACATCTAAGCTTCCATCTTCATGTTGCTGGGAAGGTTGGGACCCTATATTTCTATGGATATGTGTGTGCATGGATGCATATTCCCTGAGAGACACATGGTGTGGTCCCCCCCAGCTCACAGAACAGAGTCAAGGTGAATAAATATGTGTTATTACCAGGGTTGTTAATAACTCTGCACACAGTTGCCAAATTCCTGTTGTAGATCCCAAAGTTCCAGTATGCAAATACTTAAAATTGTCTATTTCGCTAAAGATTTTCTTTTTTAAATTAAATTTCTTCCCCCTCATCCAACAGCAATCACTTAGCAATGGAAAACCCACCTAGAACCATAGATAAATGAGGCTAAACAAAAACAGAGCAAGGAGAAGGAGAGAAATACTTGTAATTCAGCCAGGAAGCTTTTTTTTTTCCCTTATGGATTCTTGCTCCTAATCCACCCAGAGTAAATCAACACGTTTGTGGCACGTACTCCAGCTGGAGCAGCCGTGGGGAACATTCCCAGCTGCACAGATCCCTTACACAGGTGCTGGGCTTTGGGCTCCCTGGCTGGCCAAGGGCAGGGAGTTTTTGGCAAATGCCCATAATCCCATGGACTGGAAGAGAAAAGGCAGGGAGAGAGTGGTCAGCTGGCACCAGCACTTTCCATCCAGCCCCAAGCCCGAGCCAGACCTGCCTGTCTCATTCCTCACCCCGTATTCTGAATCACTGTCAAATTCCTAAACTTATTTGGCAATTCAGTGGGAGGATTTTTGGCTGGAGTTACTGGAACGGGGACATTGGGATACTCAGTACCTCTGTGTATGCTACTAAACCCTTCAATTGTTCATTCTGGGACAGAAGGACTTTTGGGGGGTCTTTTCTTCTCCTTTCTTTTTAGTTTTTTCCTCTCCTTATTTTCTGTTCTCCCCTCAGTTTTTGGGTTTTATTCCATTACCCCCCTTTGGTTTTTTTCTTTAGTTTTTTTCTATTCCTCTCCCTGTTTGTTCATTTTCTTAATTCCCTCCCTCAGACATTTTAAACTATTTTTTCGCCCCATCATTTTTTTACTCGTGATTTTTTTTTCCCCATCCCTTCCTTGTTTGTTTATTTTTTTAATTCTTCCCTTTGGATTTTAACCACTTTTTCCCCTTATATTTATTTCCCCCATGTGTTTATTTTGTTGTGTTCTTTTTTTTTTCTCCCTTCTCCTTTTTTTTTTTTTTTGAGGTTTATCTTCCCCCTTATTAAATTTTTCCCCCCAGCTGGAGGGGAAAGGAAGGACAAGAGGATTCTGTGGCCAGGCTGGCACTTGGCAGTGAGAGCTCAGGCTGTTCTTCATGAGCTGGACACGCTGCAGGTGTAACTCAAGCACAGTGACGTTTGTTATGGCCCCTAAATAGCTGCTGCTGATGTTGCAGAACTGGTGCTGAGCCAGTAGAAATGATAAACCATAATTAAGCCCAAACCCACGACATTATGATGTTGATAGAGACAAATATACATCTCTCCTCTGTTAGTGCCATGTTCGGATCAATCCATGTGGGATCTGCCCACGAAAATGGGCCCAATCACCTGCTGATGGGAAAGGCACATTAGAAGGGCCTCCATCAGGTTTTTTTATAAACTGAGGTAATTTTCTCTCCAGCACTCTAATTAAAGTAATAATTATATTAAAAAAAGGGTTAGATTCCTTATGTTGCAAAGATACTTTTCCAGTTGGGAGCCGACAGAGATGAGTTGTCTGTTCATGAAGATCTAAACTGGGCACGTCTGTGTTTATAGAGCACTAATCTCTGCTGTATAAATAACCTCTAGTGACCAAAAAAGGCCAAAAAGCAGACTTCCACTTCAACAGAAATTTGGCTTTATCAGTGTGATAAACTTGGAGCGACGGCCAAGGTTTAGGACAGCAAAGCCTGAGCACCCACCCCAAAAATCCAAGCTGTGAGTGTCAAATCTGCAGTTGGGAGAAAGCCTGGAAACCTTGGGAAGGTCTTAGTTATGTGAGAGGGGCTGAAGGCCCCTGTTCAAGGAGAAAAAACTTCAACCTTGGTTGGTCCAGCTATGCACCCGCCCTAGACAAGGTACCATGAACATCCCAAATCTCTCCAGCAGGAGAACAGGTGGGATTTCACTCAAATAATTCTTAGCTTTACTAACAGCTTATCTAACCCAAATTCCTTCAGACAAAACATTTAAAATGAAAAAAAATAATTAAAAATGGTGGCTTTATTGAACAGTTTTGCCAGGAAATATCTGACTTCAGTCCCTTCTAAAATACGTGTGAAGTGTCTGTCATTTAACCAGTGTGCTGGTATAGATTATAAACCTAACGACAATTGGGTTAATACCAACATTTTTGTTGGCACTGCAGTTCATTTTATTATAACCTTTCAGCAACTCTGTGACTAAATTCAGAATCCTTGCTTTGGATATCAAGAATGGTAAGAAAGAATAGACATATTTTCTCTGGTTTCACAGAAAAACTTGTGGTTTTTGGCTCTTAAGAGTGAAAATAAAACATAATTGGCAACATCATATCTTCAGCGAGGCCTGAGTGAGACATCCCTCTAATATTATCAATGACACAGGTTTTTCTTTTTCCTCTTTGTTACCTTAACCATTTACATCCAAGTACTCAAGGCTTTCCTTTTATGTACATGTGAGACATGAATATATACATGATGTAGTGATTTCATATGGATGATAAATGGAGATATTATTTCCCAGCATGCGAATAAATGAAAAGCCACCAACTCACACCGAGCAAATCAGTAAAACCGCATCTCAAAAAGTGGTTTAACCTTTGTTTTATTCAAAACAAAAGGACACCTTCCCAGCAAAATATTTTATGAACTGCTTCTCCACCTGTCCTTTCCAAAGGTTATTTTACATTTTAATTGGCTCAGATATTTTTCTCCTCATTGATCAGGCTGATCAGACAGATGGGGATGGGGAAATATATCTAAGAAAAGGATATCAAAAGAAACAAATGCTGCTTTTAAATGTGCTGCTGGTGCTGTCAGTGCTCATTGTGACAGATCAGCACCCAACAAATCTATGAAGTCCAGAAATAAAATGGGCAGTGCCAGAACTGCTCAGTGATGGACAGAAAGTTCATCCTCCTGTGTTTATTTTCAGCAGCTCATCACCAGCACCAAGAATATTCAATAAATACCCAATGCACTAGAGACTGACACAGCTCTCCATGCCATTATTAATAGCAGTAACTATGCTAATATATGTAATGAGCTACTTATCTGTGCTATAAACATGTAGGGCTGCATTAAAAGCACTTTTTAATCCCAGGTAATTTTAAGGTTTGATCGGCTTGTTCAAAAATCAGATTTTTTTTCGTTGTGGAGCCCTGACTGCAGCCTTTGAAATCCTGTGCTAAAAGGTGGTTTCCCATAATGTAGTCAGGAAATAATTGTGTTCTCTTGGAAATAATTGAACAGATGATAAGCCATCATCTCTTGCAGAACTTGGCCTTTCTGTATAAATAAATCCTCTCAGTGCAAGGATCCTGTGTGGTCAAACTGATTGCCAGAAAGAGAACACTCTCTGTTCATTATCTGGATCTCTTCACTCTACTCAATCCAAAGAGGCATTTTGCAAAAGCTTGCAATCACCAGAACAGAAAATAGATGCACTGAGATGTTATTGCATTTACAGAGAGCTCCAGGATAATTTATTTATGAGATGCCTTGTTGCTTTTACATACTACTTACGTTCATCAAATTTTTGGCATTTATTCTTCCCAGTTGGGCCAGTGAAAAGCAGCCAATTAAGGTGTTATTCAGGCATAAAAATTCCAGCCCCATCATCACAGAAGCAGAGAAGTAGGAAAGGGAATTATCCAAGGGTTTTTTTTTTTTTAGAAGCTTCTAACAGGTTCAGCTCAGGTAGGCAGAAAGGGGTCTGGGAGGTGGCAGGTAGAGCTCAGAGCTGGGTCCTTCCCACCAAGGGCACAACGTTCCTCTGCAGTGATGCCCTTCCCAACCCTCTCCAAGAGCAGTTTTTGGCAAGGTTTCCACTCCTGGCTGAGCACGGCTGTCATGTCTGGTTCTTGATGAACCATTTGGGTGAAGTATTTGGACAATTTTCTTCCTGTGATCCCTGGGGATGTTCCTGTGCAGGGCCAGGGGTTGGACTCGATCCTTGTGGGTTCTTGCGGGTCCCTTTGAACTCAGCACGTTCTGTGATTCTCTGAACCTGCCGCCACCTGTTCTGCAGGTGCAGAGACTTGTCTGTCGTGTTCCACGGGGCTGTCCCTCGACGAGGAGGCAACTCAGTGGACAAAAAAATGTCATGATTGGAGCTTATCTCCACAGGAGAGACTTTGACCAGGTGAAGTCAGTGGGTGCCTGAGCAAGGAAAAGCTGTGAGTTCATCACTTGTGAGTCTGTAGTTCCTCACTCCTTGAAAAATGAGGACGGGGGAAGCAGAGGTGTCGGGTTTTCTGCCTTGTTTCACCCCAGCACTCGCTGATGATTTAGGCTTTCAAGACATAGTTTGAATCCTCTCCCACTCTGGCTCTGTCCTACAAATCTGGCCATGAAGGAAGTGATTCATGCTCTAATGGCAGCCCTAAAACTTTTTTGTCCAACAAATGAATATCATTTTGTGTGTCCAGCAAAGTTATTGTACCTTTATGCTTATGGCAATTCAGTTATGTCTGAAAGGAGATTTAAGAGTGGTGGTGTTTCAGTTAAAGATCAAACCCAGCTGTGTTTTGCATGGTAACACTGTAAACCACTGCTATTTCTATTAAAAAAAAATCCATTTTCCTCTAACAGATTACATTGTTTCTTTGAAGTGTGAATCTAAGCAGCTAATATTCATAATAACATGTACATCATTAATCTTCAGACTTTATAGTCCTATTTAACCCAGTGAAGCTTCAAAGGGTACAGATGCCATACACTGTTTATTGAGATAGGAGGTAAAATCTAAATGAAAGATCTGAGGAATCAAAATTATATCTGTAACATTGTTTTTTAATCTGCAGAACACATTTAATTCCAGACGTGGTACAAAGCTACCTGGATATTTGCCTGATGAACAGTTCTATGGACACACTGGAAAGGGTAAACATATTAATTAGAGCTTGCACAGCTCCTTCTTGCTGGTGTAATCATTAAATTGATTTTTCCAGTCTGACATGTAATTGTTCCAGCGATGGAATCCTGCTTTCCACTCTCGTTCTGCTTCATCAATATTTCCTGTAAAACATGAAATGGGTTACATTAATCTAAATTTGAATCTCTTTGTATGCTAATTGAAAAATAATTTTGATTATCAATGTCATCTGCTCCAAATACATTATAGGCTGGTCCTTTGCTTGTTTTCTTAAAGCTGGAATGACTGAAAATTCAGTGATTAATGCTTTGTCTTTACTTCAGGAAGAAAGAACTGCAAAGATATCATTCTGGCACATTGCAGGGCAATAAATATACTTGTTTATGGGCTTGTGGCTTTTGGATAGTACTTCTGTCCATCAAATTCATCATTTTAAACCCACTTTTTTATTTTTTTAGTCCTCAAAATATTCCTTTGGTTCAATATACTCTGCAGTGAGAACTCCATACCCTAAAGACTACAATATGTAAAATGACGTAGATGCTTGTAAAGATAGAATGAAATCACAGCTTTATTCCATGCATTGCCATTAGTTTGGATGGAATCCAATGGATGGCCAGGATTTCACCCTCCCCTGGAATAAATTCCTGAGTTAAAAGCAAAAAGGGCCCAGGTTTGGAGAAGGAACTGTGAAATGTGAACTATGTCAGTGTGAAACCATCTTCTATTTCCTGTTCCACCCCAACCTATAAAGCATTTGCTGACTAATCCCGTGTCCCAAGGCAATATTTATTGCTGAATTTGTTATGAGCATCAGAGCAGAGGGTGAGGATGAGAAGAGTAATAAAAGTACATCATTTCACAAGGTTCTCAGAGTGTTTTACAGACCAGGATCACTCTCTCCAGCCCCAAAAAGTAATTAACCGTCCAGGGAAATGAAGTGACCTCTCAGGAACAGCCCATACAACAAGGACATCAAAGGTAACACATGAGGGCTGTGTCACACCCCGGGGCTCATTAGTTTGTAGCAATTGTGGACTTTAGGGAAAAGTTTATAAACCACTGATGATCTCTGAATGCTTTATTCATTCTGGACCTGACTATCTGGGTGTCCCTGTTGCCATAGCTGGCTTCCAAAAAAACTTGGTAATTGTGTTCTGGAGAGAACAGTTCCATGGTTTCTTTATGCTCTTCTGACTTCATGTTCTTCTGCTGCAGTGGAGCACCAGCCCTTTCCCTCCATAAATACACCCTTTCCCCCTTTTTTATGATCTGCCAGCACTGTAAGTGTAGCTGGTGATGGGAAAAATGAAATACTTTTGTGTTTTACACATCAGTAGAGAAAATATTCAGGAAAGAGAGTTAACTGAATCAGAGATTTAGTCTGGAGAAGCATCCAGTAATTTGGTTGCTTATCTGCAGTTTAGCTCAACATTTCCAAACCTTTTTGGTCTGGAAATCCAGATGGCAATTTAATGAGAGTTTGAAATGAGATTTACATTGCTTCTTGGTTTTAGTGAGACCGGAAATAAAACCAAGAGACTTTTTCTTGGGAAAGTTCTGTGTTTCTACGTGGTTCAAAAGGGAAAGTGTGGAGAACAACTATGGGAAAAAATCGTTAAAAAATTAACCGCACTCTTCTCCCTCAGTTCAAAGCTGTAAATAAGCTTGGTTATATCAGAGATCAAAGAAAAGTTCAGATATTTTTTAATTTTTTTTTTTCTTCAGGCTACAGTTGCCATTAACTCAGAGAGGATTTGTAAGTGCTGGTAACAATAAAACCTCATTTTGGTTGCTAAGCCATGACTCAGAACTATGGGGAGAAGACACACACATCATTGTGCTTTCCTGATTCTAAGAACTCTCCTTTAAACATTTTTTAATTTAAAGATGTAGGCAGGGTCTCAGGTAAAGCCAAATTTTCCATGTTAAGTCAAATTGATTGGTAATTCAGTGTATGAAGCTGTGTTAATATTATTTGGAGAAAAATGCCTAAATCATATTTCTTATCTTATTCTTGATTTTGGGTATCCAGTTTTTTTTATCCAGGTAAAGCCTCCACTTATGAATTTAAAAAAGACCAGTTCCTTCTTTAATTATTCAGGTGTAGATGTGCTTGAAGTCTGCCTAGACTTTAGAAACTGGAATATCTCTACCATAGACACATCTTGAATTAAAAGTCACTGTTGTAGGGTATAAATTATGGGGCATTTCTGTGCTTCTTAAAGATTATGGTGAAGAAAGGAGACAGCTAGAGAAAGCAGGCACCAAAAAATTGAGAGTAGCCACCATTATGAATCTAAAAGACAAAAGGGGGAAGGAAAACACTGAAATAAGAACTTGGATTCCAATTTGTTTGCTTTTTTTTCTTTTTTTTTTTTTCCAGTGATAAGATCCAAATTGAAGTCACAAGTCAATGCATCCCATTATCACCAACATCATCAATCTCTTTGAGGCAACCACCCATGACTTAGATGAGCTGACAGCTGGGAGGCAGAGAAGGAAAAGATTAGAGAATTCGAGCTGACCCATAATTACAGCTCAGAGCTCTGGGTGACTGCTTTGAGCTGCACTGCCAGGGGGGTCACTAACAACCCACGGGGGGGATTCTGCTCTCTGCAGTCATTTAGGCCACCCAAACTTTGGAGTAATTCTCGTTAGCCCAACGCAAAGCCCAGTGAAGCTGACAAGGAGAAAAGGGGAGATTCTTTAGGCAACGAGTCAGAGCTCTGAAAAGTCCCAGTCATAGAATCATAGAATCAGCTGGGTTAGAAGGGACCTCTGAGATCATCAAGTCCAACCCTTGATCCAACCCTGCTGTGGTTCCCAGCCCATGGCACTGATGCCACATCCAATCTCTCTTCTTAAACACCTCCAGGGATGGAGAATCCACCACTTCCCTGGGCAGCCCATTCCAATGGCTGAGCACCCTCTCTGGAAAGAAATTCTTCCTAATATCCAACCTAAACCTCCCCTGGCACAGCTTAAGATCATGCCCTCTTGTCTTGCTGATGGTTGCCTGGGAAAAGAGACCAACCCCCCCCTGGCTCCCCCCTCCTGTCAGGGAGTTGCAGAGAGTGAGGAGGTCTCCCCTGAGCCTCCTCTTCTCCAGGCTGAACAGCCCCAGCTCCCTCAGCCTCTCCTCACAGCACTTGTGCTCCAGTCCCTTCCCCAGCCTCGTTGCTCTCCTCTGGCCCTGCTCCAGCCCCTCCATGTCCTTCCTGAGCTGAGGGCCCAGAACTGGACACAGCACTCCAGGGGTGGCCTCACCAGTGCTGAGTCCAGGGGCAGAATCACTTCCTTGGACCTGTTGGCCACACTGTTCCTGATAATCCAAGGGTTCTTGGATTCCTCAGCAGTGCAGACACTGCATTTCCTATCCTTCCATGCAGCCTTTTCATGGCATTGCAGCAAAGTGACATTTATCACCACACCGTCCTTTGAGCTGCTGGATGTGCCAATAAAGTGCTAATCTTCAATGTATTTTTGTGTATTAACATTAAGATTGGGACAAAGGCCATGTAGCTGTTATGATATAATAGAATTAATAAGGGATGACAAGTTAGGATTAATTTTTGTGTCCTCAAGAGCTCATAATTAAAGGTACTTTAAAACTTCCTGATTCATTAGTGTGATAAATGCTGCAGGTTTGTGCTGTAGATTCTCGTGGTGAGAGTTTCACAAACGTCCAGGAAGGAGAAAACAAATAGGATCTATGTTCTGGTATCTCTATTCAGTGTTCTTGTGACCCTGCCTTGGGACTGGAGGATCTCCAGAGGCCCCTTTCCAACTCCCTGTGATTCTCTGATTCTTTAAATCACACTCTCTGAACACTAAAACTTTGTTAACCCCAACCATATATTCATTTTCACATGTATGTTTAAGAACTTCAGATTTCTTTATTGTTTTTCTTCTTCCAAACATCAGTAGAGCTCTCTGGGAGAGGAATTATTTTAAAGGCTGGGATCTTTCCAATGACATGGGGTGGAAGGTACTGGAGTCAGAAAGAAATCAGATTGTTAAGGTACAGAAACACACTGCCCATAGGTGCAAAGAGTAAATTTTACTCTGTCAGTAGGTGCTGTAGTATTGGTGAGGTGACTTTTGACTAGTTCACAATTCTGTGGAAATTTAAAACTAATTGTGACGATGAATGTTTTATTTAGCCAAATTTTCAATATTCTTACTCCCCTGAGTGTTTAGCTCTGCAGAATCCAGACACTGCTTGGAGGATCACAGCAAACACAATTATTTTTGTTACTCAATGGCCAATAGGTTGAAATTTCTCTGCCTCCACATCCAAAATCTTTTTAGGGTGGTTTTAAAACTTAATGTATTTATGGCACCTACTTTGATTTCTCTATAGATGATACATGATGCAGTAATAGATAAAAAAATAGAAAAATATGTATTAGGCACACTAAAATAGTAATGGACCAGTAATGGAAAGCTTGGCTGCCTGCAGCTTTCTATAATCAAGAGGAAGCAGGCATATATAAATAACTAGGGCTCTAGATGCATTAAAGATTGTGTTGAGGAGGTAGAGACTAACATAGATGCTTTTATAATTAACATATGATTGCTCTAAAAGCTACTTAAAAGTCACTTAGTGTTTACTGTCCCTCCAGTGTGTTTCTTGTAGAACCAGTCACCAGCAAAACTTCTGGGGCTCGTCCCAGTGCTCTCACCCTCCAATGGAACATTAAATCTGAGTGCTCCCAGCTTGGCTGGGGCTGAGGGGGATGGAGGGTGTGCCCAGTGCCTTCAAAATGGGGTTAAAATCCCAGTGGAAATTGTGTCTACTTGGAATTTAGAGCTCATGTGAGGCAGGTCTAGGGCCAGTTTACTTGTCTAGTGATTGTTACCAAGTGGGGCATAAAACTAAGAGCTCTGACCCAATGATAGGTTTGAGTGTTGAAACTCAAGGAGAAGACATTGAGAAATCGTCCAAAATCATACAAAGCTCTCTAGAGAGATCAAGGCCACGTTTTATATGTGGCTGTTACTCTTGTGTTACTGTGTGAGGTTTATTCTTTCCTTATTTTTTCTAACCCGTAACCATGACTTTTTTTTTTAATGTATCTGATTCAGTTGCTTGAGGAAAATGTAAATTATTTAACCATAAAGATGGCAGGGGCTAAATGTTTTCCTCTCTCATATATTTTAACTGCCTCGAGGAACTTGTCTTGCCCAGCCTGTGATGGGAACAGGCTTTTTCAGATGCAGGACATGTTTGGAGCTGGTCATTAAAAGCTGAAAAGACCTCAAGGGGTGGCAAGGCTTGTGCTTGGCTGGGTCAGGAACTAAACAAGTGGCTACCAAGCACATCCTGATCACTTTACACTGAGAAATCATTGCAATTTCTGTAAAATAAGTTGCTTTTGTTGTCCTCTGTGGGTTCTGCCTGATAGAATTCTACCTACCTGAACCCTACTTGAACTTGTAATAATGATAACATGAAATCTCCTTACTTCTTCTTCTCTGTTGTCTTACATCACCTCGTGTTAAAGCAACCTTTTTCTAAGACTATTGCAATGGAAGGAGTAATAGAAAAGAGACACCCTCAGAAAATGAGAAAATACATATATTTATGGGATTCACTGCCCTTTGGGCATAAGAGGAGAAAAGAAATGCAAAACAATATTTCAGTGAGGAGAATTATTGCAATATAAAGTATTATATCATGGTCTTAAGCAGAATTATAAAGAGATTTTTTTTTTTTGTCAGGGTGCTATAATGTTGTATAGGGATCATAATGGAAATACTCTGTTTTTATACTTACAATATTTCAAGGACTGCCAGATGTAGACACATGACAAAACAGTGCTACCTCAACAACATTCCTGTCTCAGCTCTACATCAGGATCCAGACACGATGATTCTTTTCATTTTTCCTGAGAATATTCTCATGAATTTCTTGTAATTGGATGATGTAAATTTATGTTGTAAATCATTGATTATGGCCAAGTGATGTGTTTCTGTCTCCTGGCAGATCCTGGGTGTTGCTCTGTCATCCCTCCCACCACGGGACCATGCAAAGCCACTCTGGGGTTGGTCTCTGCCCGGGGATGTTCTCCCTCCTGCTCCTCCCCAGAGCACTTGGTTGTGCTCAGCCCATTTGTAGGATACACATTTTTCCACAGGGATTCCCAGCCAGGTTCAAAAAAATACGGAAAACAGTTCAGTTCTCCTGGCTCAGCACAAACGACTTGTCAGAGTCTTTGAAACCTCCCCAAAATCCATCTGTAATTTGGTACACTGTGATTTTAAAATCACAGAGTGAGGATCATAAATTATTCATTTTACCTACTGATTTTGCTTCTCCTGATTTAATTGAAAAACATCTGTTGAACTGAGAGGGGATAAAAGTTGAGCCATAATACAGTCATAGACTCAAATGAGGAAGGAATAAATTATTTCAGAAGGAATCATCTGTGCACCGTGACAGTTTACATATTTTTAAGACTTCGCATATTTTTAAGACTAGCACTCAAACTGAGCCTTACAGGAAGATTTTAAATTACTAATTAACATTTTAAACGTGTATCTTATTTTTAAAACGAGACTTTCCCCCAGTCAAACTGCAGAATGTGGTTCCAGAGCTGCAAAATCACTTTATAAAATCAATTCCTTTTTGAAATCCAAAGCACAGAGACTTGGTCTGTTTGCTGGGCTTTGTGAAAATGGTGGTGTTTGCCTGCTAAAAATTTGAGTTCTCCCTGTTCAACTGGACTTAGAGTTTCACACAGCTCCTTATACTTTTCCAAGTAGTGAAATCTCAAACCCCTATTTTATACAGGATCAGGTACAAATCAGTTGTTCAGTTTAGGCAGATCTTGCAGTGTCTGTTTGTCATCAATGGCTGACACTCCAGAAATAAAACACGAGGCTCTCACGTGAGATGGAAACCAGAATCCCCTCTTGGCAGCAGCAACACACTTAATATCCTCTGTGGATTAGCTGCATAATAATAGAATCCCATAAATAATAGATAATATAATCCAAATATAACAACCTTAGACACAAGAAGTTTATACAGAACATCTAAAGCTTCCAAAAGTCCCTCCTTAAACACTGTTTTTCCTGCCTTCTCCAGCATCCAGGAACCCAGAGCCCGGCAGCACCAAGGCTCTTCCCTTGAGAACAGGCATTTGCAGCACTTTTAATGCCTCACATTGTGGCTGCATCTGCATTTTGGGCCAGAGAAACTCCACATCACAAAGTCCTGGGCCTTGGTTTGTCCCCAGTTTTTGTCCTAACACCAAACAGGGTGGTGACCTCTGGCCAGAAGCACAGGGCACGTCCTGGGATCCTCATCATGGAGAGTTTTATCCAACACCCGAACACCTCAGCTACAAATAACACAAAGATTTGAACTCAAGCATCACACTAATATCCTTGCATAAAAGTTTCATATAAAAGCATGCATAAAAGATTTTTTTACCTGTCATTTCCAGGACTTTGGGGAAAAAATATTTCCAGAATCGACACTGCTGAGCACGGAGTTTTGTCAGGATCTCTGGAGTGCTGGTGTTTAGTGTCAAATATTTCTGTTCATTGCTGGTGAAGGCTGGCCATCTTATTCCATTAATCAGGGTCCCATTAGGAGCCCTAAATGAGAAAAGAAACACTTCATTTGGAATGAGAAATCACCTCAGCACACCAATGCAGCATTATTTGGTCTTACTTAACAGTTTTTTCAGTTTAAGTGTGTTAGTTTGGATTTACTGATAAATCCTTTTGTAAGTAACAAGGGGGAAAAGGAAGGTAAATGTGATTTAGTCTCATTTGAAAAAATGTATTTATATTCCACTCTTTAGGTGTTCTGGGTTCATCTAAGGGAAAAAGTTAATAAATGACCATATACAAACGACTTGATGAATTTGGAAATTCTCACAGAAGATATAAATTTTTGTGGATTACTCAAGAACAAGCCAAGCCACAAGTCTGGGAGGTTGAGTGGTTTATGATTCAATTTGAAGGTTGCTGATCCCTTTAAATACATTGGACTAAATAACTGGGATAAACATGCAAAGAAAGCCACAAATAATGTCTAAACTTGAAGAGAAAACAATTATCCCTCATTAAGCAGAACTGTTCCTCCTTGAATTATGTTGAGCCCTGTTAGCAGAGTGTCAAATGGGAACAATTTGAAATCTTCTGGAAACTGAGAAGAGATACAAAGTGCTTGACCCCCTATAAAACAAGCTCTGCATGTTAAAGGATCACAGCTGTTGGTGCTAAAATAGTTTGATAAATATTTATTAAACAACAGAATTCATGAAGTTCTAGGGCCAGGCATCGAGTTTTTAACCTCCAAAAAAGACAGTACTAAATGAGGAAAAAAAAAATTGTTTAAATAGGTAGAACAACAAGAGTTTTGCATTAAGGAACAAATGAGACAGAACATGATTTTCAGAAAAAGAAGTTGATAAGTACTTCAAACAGTCACAAATCACCATTAGCTCAGAAGAGGTTAGGAATAGAAACTAAACATCTTATTTCAGTGTAAGCAGAAGGAGTCATTCTCTTTTCTAGAAGCTGATATTGAGGAACCTGGGATTTAGGGCAGAACAACAGTAACTGATGATTCTTGGTGGGATCAATTAAGAACATTATTAGCTAAGTTAACTTGGTTCTCTCTGCTTTATTTTTCACCAGAAGGCAGCAGGCAAAGGGGAGTCCAGGGTGTGTGGAGCCCATTTTTGGATTCTGCTTGCCAAAGGTGGAAATTGAGGTGCCAGGTGCAGGTGGGAGCAGTCAGAGCACAAGATGCAGCTGCTGAAGTGATATCAACATCTCCCAGCTAACTCAGAATTAACCAAGTTTTCAGACCGGGTTTTAATATTCTGGAGTCTTTGGCATTGGCTGCTTAGAGAAACTATGTAGGGGTAAGAGCCTCAGCGTGCCATTTCCTCAATTGCTCCCTTCTTTATGAATTTTTCGTGACTAATTCAGCTCTGATTAACCCGCAGCACCTTTTTAAGCTGCACATTTATTTGTGGCTCATGAGAATGATGACTTAAGCAGAGCTGACTTGCACTTCAGTTCAAGATCAGAACACTAATGGTGCTGTCAGTATTCATTTAACAGCTTTTATGCTATGAAATAAATCATGACATCCCACATTATAATTTCCAGGTGTGTGGGGGGATTACACAATGGCTCAATGGCTACAGATGTATTTTACTAAAAAGTGATTGAAAGAACTGTCAGATGAACACAGCACTTTGAAATCCATGAACCTGCTGATTATGCCATTCCCTCTGCATTTCCAGGAAGTTTATGGCTCAAAGAAATGCCCAGTAATTTCCTTCTTAGCTTCATTATTGAAAATTTCCCAAGTTAAAAAGCAGCTCCCAGTTAGAGCAAAATGGAGATCACAGGAGCATAATTTTGAACGGGGAAGAACAAGTTATGATTATAACCTCATTGTTCCCTCACAATTGCTTTCATTCCTTCTTGCTAATAACTTCATGATGAGAATCGCAGTGCCCAGAATAGGCTATTAAATTCCCTCTTCTTTGCACCAAATTCTGAGTTTAATAATATTCATATAGAAAAGTAAAAAGTATGGTGAGAATATCCTTAGTGAGCAGACAAGAATCCAATACACTGCACAAACTTCTGTCCATCTGTGTTTGGATGGACAATCTTTGCTGATATATCACAGGAACTTGTTTCTGCTGACAAAAATAAGCTCGATTTCCATGGAAATCTCAATCTTTTCACCTTTATCAGTTCCTCAGACCTCTGCTTTTTCATCTTCTGGTACTCCTTAGCCATCTCTGCTTTACTATCTTCCAGTTTTGCCCTCTCTGTGCTGTCACTGGGGCCTGAAGGTGTGTCCTGACAGTGTTTGGATCGTGCATCTTCAGGGAGAACTTTTATCTTCTGCATCTACCTTGTCAAATCATCGTTCTTGGACCTCTCTCCAGATCTACAAGCTCCAGGCAGGGAAAACCTTCATTTTGCTTGGAGAAAATCATCAAATGGTTTGGGTTGCAAGGGACCTTTGAAGGTCATTTAGCTCAACCCCCTGCAATGAGCAGGGATATCTTCAACTAGACCAGGAATATGAGCTTCATCTCAATATTTTAGAAAGAAGCTGGTTCCTTTTCTGCACAGTTTTTCCTGTTTACAGGAGCAAGTCTTAAGGCAATTAAGAAACACAATTATTTGAATTGCTCCCACAGAAGAAATGCAAGAGATAGAGAGAAAAAAAAAAAGACCAAAACAAACTCAAACCACCTGTGTTTAAATTCTGATGTGAACAGAATTTGCCTCACTATTTCAGATATTTTTTTTCCTTTGCATATGCCCTGAAGTTATAGCTGGACTCTCTCTACTCTGATAGTGATACAGCAGCTCATTTACAGTTAATTATTTTGTCTTTAGGGCAGCCAAACTTATTTTCTCATTAACTGGAAAACCAGAGTATCTTTGTGGGCTCAGTCTCCAGTAGAGCTGCTCTCATGTTCTACCTTCAAACTCACGTGTGCTGTTATTGAAATTCATGAGCATTATTTAATCTTGTGCCCAGTGGAAGTTGCTTGGCTGCACTTGTTACAAAGATCAGGTTCATCCCCCTTTGAGTATTTATGTCCACAACTGTCAATAACATTTAATTTTCAAGATTAATTTATAGTAAGTATATTAGATTTGACACAGAAGTGAAAAGGGTTTTACAGGAGCTTATTGACTGATCATTTCTCTGCATTTAATGTTCGTCTTCAGCAACTTTAGAAGGAGAAAGTTAATTTCATTCAAATGGAAAATGCAACATGAACACAGTTCTGTTAATCATAATAAACATACATATATTATCATTCTCATTAATGTGATCAATATAGCCTGAAATACAACCCTAGCTCACTGCATATTTATTTATATTCAGATAGCATTCCTTTTACAGATGGTCTATCACACAGATACACAAAAATACGTAATTCATCATCTGAATTTTTTTTGGTAAAAATTCATGTTATAAAGTACTTGGGAAATATTCACTTTATTTTGTGAGGGAGTTCTGAATAGCAGAGCGAGAATTCATAGAGTGCATTCCATCATTTAAAAGAGGTTCTTCTTTTGTACTTTTAACTTATATTTTGATATAGTCCACAAAGAAAAATTTTCTCTGCTAACTCTCCTGAAAAACTTTTTAGGCTGTTGTAGGATGAGTGTTGTAAACCAAGTGTAGCACATGATATCTCAGATGGTCCCAAGCTTTCACCATACTCCTCTTTAGCTGCTCTATTTGTAAACAGATCTGGTTAACATGTTGTGAATTTCCCCAGAGCACAAGAAAACCAACCTGCCCATCATTTTTGCTGCTGGATTAGACCAACCCAAACCCACCAACAGATTCAGAAGCTGGAACACACTTACCCCCAGTCCCTGGTGCAGCCCCTTCCTCCAGCCTGACAAATATTTGCTCTGCCTGGCTGGAGCTGTTGGTGGAGGGATTGCTCCCTGTGAAGCCTCATGCACTAATTTCACCTGGAAATCAAATGCAGACCTGCCCCTTCCTAAATGTGACTGTATTGGCTTCACCCTGGTTGGAACTGCTGATGCTTATTTTCAACTTGGCCCTTTTTCTTTTAACCAGCTGGTTTTAAAGGAAGGAGAAAGTGAATGTGAATCATTTTTATGACCTTTTGTGATTCCTTGTAGCTGTTGGGCAGCGCTGGCAATCAGCAGGTTTTTATGGGATGGTGTTTTATGGTGTGTTACCGTGGGCACCACATAACTGGGAGGGGGAATGGCCTTGGAGCTGCAACAGCAGCAGTAACCCCATCTCTTGCAGGATTTCTGCAGCTGCATTACAACACCTCTAAGAATGATGGAAACAGTCAGCTGGGTATCAAACAAGAAGCACATTGTAAATGTTTCACCCCAAAGGAAGCTCTGGGAGCAAGGGGTGTTTCTGCACGTTTCTGCACCACATGGACACGCCTGTATATGTCTGCACCATCCCTGGAGGGATTTAAAAGACATGTAGATGTGGCTCTTGGGGACACTGGCAGTGCTGGGATAATGATGGTGATCTCAAAGGTCTAAACTGAATAGATGAACCTTCTTTTCTTTTCTTCTTTCTTTTCTTTTCTTTCTTTTCTTTTCTTTCCTTTTCTTTTCTTTTCTTTTCTTTTCT